AAATACATAAAACTTGCAAAAAGAACTTTTTTCATTATTGTTTAAATAATATGATTCAAAAAGTGAACTAAATAATCTTATATACAACATTAAAATCGCAATATTAATACTGAATACATGGTAAATTTACGCCTCTTCATTTGTTCAAACAAATCATCACAAAACTCGATTGACTCGCCTAGATCCAATCAATAGCGATTTTAAATTATTACTTGCAGCTCTCTAACGCTTTGTGTTCCTTTATTTAACTGGCTCCAATTATCTGATGTTAATCTTTCAAAAAGAAATAAGATTCTCAAACTACATCTAATTATTAATAGACATATTCTTCCAAATGCACTATAGCTTAAGAACATGCTCTTTCGAAAAAATAGATATTTTATATTTCTGTGAAATTTTAGTTTTTAGATTATAATGCATGCTAAATTTGCATCATTTCCTTCTAAAAAAAATAATTCTTTTAGATATTTGCATTGATAGAATAATCTCTATAATATTCATTCAGCAACGATTCAAATTTAAAATACTCACCATGCACAGATTTCCACAACGCTATAAGGATCAACGGGCAAGAAAATTTGTGTATTATATTAGAAAAAATTTTAATATTCTGTAGGTCAGTCTGATCGATTTCCATTAATGCGAAAATATCAATAATATAACCTCTTTGCAATCCAAAAGAATCCATTATAAGAATTTGAAATTTCATCATGTTATACTGAGTTTTCATACATATCCTGGTACCGTAATATGATGGTGTACCTCTAGTTCCAGTTTAAATATTCTTATTTCATATGTTACTTCGAATATTTTTTTTTAATGTGACTTTTAAAATTATCGTTATTTTCTTTATATTAAAATAATAATAACTCTTATATAAATAAAATTATCACAATATTTTATTCGGTTTTTATTGTTACAGTAAACTCTTCCCCCCCCCAATGAATTCTAAATGAATGTGATCTGTACAAAGAATGTAATTATTTTCTTTTAATAGCTATGTAAAATAATGCCTTGTTCTTATAATTATATGATTTTTCTAACGTGTTCTACTGTTTCGGAATGAAAAAAGTTATAAACTGTCAATTGTTATGTTAATCTACCAATTTAACATATCTTTCTCTCAAGAGTGAAACATTCCAAAGCAATACGATACTATATCATCTAGTTAAAAAATTACCACAATAAAAGTGGTTCTTTTATTTAAATGATGTCTGAAGAAACATTCCTGAGTAATATTTCAAACTTCAAAGATTATTACGCATTACTCAATTTCATTGAGACTGGAATTTTTTGCAATTGTAGTCATCAAAAGTTTTGCATAAAATAGAACACCTGATAAGAAACGTTTAAACAGAAAAGTTACTTTCTCATGCTTGTTATACATTTAATTTTAAGTTGCTATTTTAAGACTGTTCTCTTTTTTTTTTTTTTTTTTTTTTTTTTTTAATGATTCTAATGCGATGCCCGTGCAGCGTAACTTAATTTCATTAATTAATTACGTAATTTAAAATAATTTGAAAGTTTTTTTTAATAATTTCAATTTTTTTATATTATACCAACATCATACAAGCACTGAAGTATTTTAAGAATTACCTAATATCGAAAGTATATCTTATTTTATTTTCACAGGAAAATGGAATAAAAATTAAATTTATTTGTTTTCAAGCTAGTAATTATTCTTCGTTTGTTTTCAGTTGATGTAAAATACAATGCATTTCTATTATTTAGATGGTAGATATTAAGACATGTAAAACTGTATCTCAATGAATAAAACATTACTTACATGAAAAAAAAATGCATCAATGTATTCAGAACATTGCAAGTTTAAAAATTCAAATATTTTTCTCACTTTTATAGTTATTGTTAATTTAAAGCATTTTTGAAGAATGAAAAAGTGCTGTTGGAAAATAAATTAAGCTGCCAGTTTTCTTTAAAATTATCTGAATACATAAAAAAATTTATGAAAAAGTGGACTTTCTTCGAAAATACATTTTCAAACAAATGTTTTTTGCATTAAGGTATCAAAACAAAAAAACTATGTAAAAGATAAAGATAGTTAAATTACAACTGAGCCTGGTTTATATATGCCTACTAAGGCAATTAGTACAAAATAAGCATTCTATACAAAAGTATAGTACAATATAAGCATTCAAATAACCACATTGTCCCTAGAGAAATGGCACTGCAGAAACAAAGCATCATTTTTATCACATGCATTTTTAAGTAAAATATAATTTAAATTTTTTAATTACTTATAATGATTAAGAAAGACTTACAAAAGTACCTCCATTTAGTTATTTTTTAACGTAGATTTCTTTACATTTTATGCTTCTTCTATTGAGTATAATTATAAAAAGAAAATTCTAATTCTGGATAAAAGAATAGTTGCAATTAAATTTTTAACTCTGAAAAATATTGTTTTTAACAGTTCCAAAATGTTTAACAATATGCAACTAAATGAACTAAAGTTACATGGTATATCGAGAATTATTTTTTACTGAAATTATTTAATAAATACAGTGCGCATAATAATATTCGAAAAAGAAATAAGCATTAAAATGTGCTTCAGACGCGTAATTATGGAAAAAAATTGGGACAAATATATTAATCAATGAACATCTAATAAAAAACTTCTTTGAGTTTACAAATAAGTTTACAATTAATAATAATATGCCAATCAGTTTTGTTGTTGACATTATTTTTAACATGTTTACTTATTTATAGTTTGATTCAGTATTCATTGTAATAAATTACACTGCTAGATTGTAAATATTCAATCACAAAATACGCCTGGTAGCTCGGAAAATGAAATTTATTTTTTAAAGCACATATAACGTGTAAGTGAAATTTAATAATTTCTGCCTTTACACATAGCTGCGAGTATAAAGTGAAAAAGAATGTTTCTTCAAAAGAACAGGTGAAAACATTTTCTCAAAGTTTTACTTCCCTATATATTATACCTTGTAAAATATTTCTCCCTTTCCAGTTGACTTATCCTTTCAGTGTGTTTTCCCCCAAAAAATATATGTAAATTACAAATAATCAAAGTATAACTTTCAATACTTTGCTTCGAATTCTATGCAAAATAAAACCTTATTCAATTTTCTAAGTGTGTACAACTTTTTTGTTAAAGCTTACTTTCACTTTCTCAAGACAACTGCAGTTTCAAACTCATTAAATATTTTTATCAAGAGTATTTCTTCCAAAATAATCTTAGATTTTTTTATCTGAAATTTTCATAGAACTATTCGTTTCTCTAATCAAAACTATCAAAAATTATAATAAATTCAACACAGAATTAAGTAATACTTTAAAAATATTTTCTAAGTATTAAAGAATATACGAAAAGAAATAGCGTTTGAAAATAGAGTGACTCATATTTGCTTTTGAGCACTTATGTATTTGAAAATATCAGCTGCTAAATATTAGTCAAATCACTTTTTCTTTCACTTACACTGTTGATCATCTATTCTTAAAACCTGCTTGTTTTGACAAACTTTTTTGGTAAAACATAGTTTATTCAAAACTTTATGAAAATGAACTCGCATGAGTATTTGTACACATCGAATAAACAGTTTATATACAATAAAAACAAGAAAATAACAGTATACTTAATATTTTGCTGGCTATCCTTTAGCTAAAGTTACATTTTCATACACTTTTTGATGGATATAGGTTTCACAGGATTTAAGTTCAAAAAATATGGAGAAGTTGTGATAACTTCATTTGGTTTAGTTTATTTGGTTATGACCAAGTATTCGAGGGCTATCTGCCTAAGGAGAAGAATGCCTTCATGGAGGACTTTCTAAGGGAAACTTGCTGGTATACACGTTACACATAGGGAAAAACACGAAAAGGGTCATGCAGCCAGCATGTTCACGGGATTCAAACCTCGGACCGAACTACCAGTGTTCAACGACTTTACAATTCGGCCGCTGATGAGTCTGATAACTTCAGGACAGTTGTACAATAATGGCCGTATACATATACTAACGGCCAACGACTGCGAACAGAAGTGTTTTAAATGAAGAAAACAGAAGTGTTTTAAACGGGGGAAAAAATCCATCCTTCAAAACTAGTTGAAAATGAGAACAAAAATTCCATATTTTTACTTCTAATTACAGAAGTGTTTAAACGAAGAAAGTATCGATCCTTCGAAACAAGTTGAAAAGCCATCAAAACTACAGATTTTGAAATTAAATATTCTGGTCAATTTTGGTCGTGCAGAAGTCACACTTCTTAAAATTCTGTTTTTCATAACGAGCATAAAACTTTCCCCAATTCAGATATAGGAACTGTGGCACTGCACTGAAAGTTAAATTTCGTTATTTGTCGAAAAACATTACTTTTTTTAATTTGAAATTGCTAAAACATGAAATTTCGTCATTAATTAATTAAAATTAAAAATTCGTCATTTCAAGCACTTATGCAGTTGGAAGTGTATGTCTACGACCAACGATTACGAAAATAAAGGTCGGGTAATGTGAGGGTGGACTCGTACAGCTCTTCACAATATCATAGAGTACAATCAGTACTTACACTTCAAACTACTAAGAATGTTAAACACAACTGAATGCAAAGCGCATCTAAACGACTATTAAAGAGCGATTATATTCAGCTCTGAACTAACAACTGAGAGCAGATGCTGTCTCCGGTCCTATACAGTTTTCCCCCGCTGCCAAGCCATCTTTAGTAAATTTCATTTGTCGAAATTACTGGAAGGCATATTCGGTTAAAATTACATCTGAGGCCTGGATATAATTACATCTAAGGCCTGGATATTGCGTATAGTAATCAATTTCATTTATTCAATTACAGTTACACAATTACAACACCTATTGCAGTTATACAGTGACCGAACAATAATGTCGCCAATTTCGGCGATTTTTGCGATTTCTCTCTAAATTTGGCGACAAAAATTAGTCACCAAAACCCTCGCCAGTTTAACGAGATAAAAAGTTACTCAATGTTAAATAGAGTTGACCTTGTATTCTTACTTTTCCGATAAGCTTCGCTTCTTTAGATTTTCAAAATTCGTAACGTTGTCTCCTTTCCAAAGACTGCATATCCCGGGCAGTACAATCCCTGGACAGGAAGCCATACTTAAAAATAAAAAAAAAAAAGTTAATACAATACTAAAACGTAAGTTTAAATAAAAATATAAACTAAATCAATATTAAACTCATGAATTTACAAATTTGTATACATATAGGACCATGGTCTCAATACACTATTTACATCATATACACATTGCGGACTACATACTGTGGCCAAAGTAAAGGCCAGCCTATCGTAATGAATGATTTTAGGCTTAGAGTTTGATGACTTACGGATCCGAACCACTATATCTTTCAGCCTGTTTAGAACTGTGTAAGGACCGTGCCACGGTGACTGTAATTTAGGAAAGAGTCCTTTCCGTCAAATCGAATTCCATAGCCACACCTTGTCACCTTCACTTTATAGCTCTCTTGTCGTACCAGGCTTTCATCTTCTCCGTCACCAAGTTGACTAGCTCTCGTGCAAAACTGTGCATAACTTCAAACTGTGCCTGGAAATCTTGAATGTACTCCACAGGCACATCCAGAGGGCGACCAAATAACAGATCGCAAGACATGCGAAAGTCAAACCGAAGAGCCTCTGGGATGGGGAATAAACGGAAGTCCTGTGGACAGCACTGTGATAACCCAGTAAGAAGAGGGACAACTTCTGTTTCCACCACTGCTGATTTCTAGAAACCATCAGCGAGAGGGTCATTAAGGATGGTTCCATTAACCCTCTCTACCATACCGTCTAGTTGGGAATGTAAAGGTGCTGTCTGGGTTTTGACGATGTTGCTTAACTTGCAGAGTTCATTCACTAGAATCGATATAAAATTTCTTCCTTAATCGTAAGAGGCGCTCGAAACCTGGAAATTCAGTGCTGTATTCCAGTGTATACCTCTGCTACCACGACAGCATGATGGATAGGATAGGCTTCAGGCCACTTTGTGAAATAATCAATGACAATGAGGATGTGTTTGTTGACATTAGTAGTTCATAGCAGAGGTCCTAGGATGTCAAAAGCGATGCGTTCAAAAGGCGCTTCAACATTGTAACGTTATAGCTTCCCTCGGCGGCGTTTCTTTGGTACTTTCCAGCTCGCACAGGCAACGCATGATTGGCACCAATTTTGCACGTCAGCCCTTACGCTACTCCAGTAGAAGCTATCGAACTCTATGCAGTCTTCATTATTCCGAAGTGGTCTCCATCAGACTGCTAGGTTGTTCTTTAACAACATACAGAGATTTTGGAAGTATCAGCTGCCATCAGAATTCCTTTCCATCACCCCATTCTAACTTCCGGTACAACACGCCATTTTGAAAATGGAGTGAGTTCCAAAGAGCCCAATATTGCTTTGTTTTAGTGCTATATAGACAGAAATATCCTGCTAGGTAGGTTTTCTATTTGAAGATTACGTTAAGTCAATTACGGTTTTAATGTCCTTGTCTTTCAACTTGTCTTTCCCGACATCCTCATCACTACTTAGGTCTCGATCAGCCAATGTTGAAGTTAAACTTGATGTGCCAACGGATTAATACGTTCGTGTTTCGCTTTGACCTGGAGAAAATATCGGCAGCTTTCTGAGCAGGGTCTTCTACACAAGGCGTCAGCGTTTCCGTTCGACAATCCTTTCTTATCATGGATGTCCTATTCCTGTAGTCTCTGGTATGCATCTAACTATTTGGGATTCGGGACTCTTGAAATCTAATAGCCAGGTCAACGATGCATGATCTGTGCAGAGGAAGAATTTTCTGCCGTAGATGTAATGGTTAAAATGTTCTACGGCTTTAACTATCGGGAGCAACTCTTTCGTGGTGACACAATCATTCCTCTCCGGTTAGACAGCCACTTGCTTTAGTATGCTACAACACGTTCTTAACCGTTTGTTTCTTGGGATAAAAACACCACCGACACTCTCATTGTTCACAGCCGTATCAAGAATAAATGGTTTGTCGAGCTGAGGAAACATCAGGATTGTGGCAGATGGTAAAACCTCCTTCACTTTGTTAAATCTATCCTCACATTATTTTCTCCGCAAGAACTTTTGCTTGCTCTGTCAGTTTGTAAAAGGGTCTTGCGATGAACGAAAAGCCATTTACAAATCTCTTATAGTAAGTACAAAACCCCACGAAACTTCTCAGCATGTGGACATCATCGAGCATCCCCAATCTAACTGCTGACACCTTTTCTGGACCTGTACACACACCTCCGCCAGACATGACATGCCCAAGGAAAGTCACTTCTTGTATAAACAATTTACATTTGGCAGGACTTAATTTTAGATTGTCTTCTTTCAGTTTCTGAAGCAACTTTCTATGATTTTCAAGATGTGCTTCGAAACTCTTCCCGACGATGATGTGATCCAGATACATCAGACAGGCTTTGCAGAAAAGACCTCTCAACACGGTCTCCATGAGGCGTTCGAATGTTGCCGGCTCGCGTATTTTTACTTCCTTAATAGGAAACGCAACTCGCGACTAAATGTGGCGATTTATCGGGTCTTGGCGAAATTGTGACACCAAGCGCATGCGCAAAAGGAAATATCGCTGTCGGTTTATGTTTCAAATTGTGATGCCGTGAGTATCTCCAAGGAAGTGTAAAATAACTTTATAAATTTTATTTATGGATCCTACGAATAGTGTCCTTCATAGTGTCACATGCAAGACTAATAAGAAATAGGCTATTTCAGAAATAAAGAATGTTTAGCTGCTTGCATGTCAGATTTTAAAAAATAATAAGTATAATGTCGTGATGAGTATTAAAAAAGATCTGTGCACTTCGATTTCGTCATAAAACATCGATGTGACGTGCTGAACGTGGAATTGCTTGCGCCAATTGATCGTGAAAGAAGTCATCAACTACTTTCGTGCCGGAAATAACAATTAATAATATAATATTTTTATTCTGTATACATCAACAGAATTCACTGTTAGTAAATACCGTCAAAATGGTGATGATAACATGTATTGAACTAGAATGTTCTACTTAATGAGCAATGTTTAGTACTTTTCGTGATCTTCATATCTCATATTTCGTACAAGAATTTTACTTAAGATATCGGCATTATTTAATTGCCCTATTAAGAAGCTTGAAGGCATTTTGTGCAACAGCTGAAAAGCACATTAGTTGCAATTGCTTAGAATATCCATTACATATAATAATGATAAATTTATAATTTCCTATAGTATATTGAAATGACAGCTTCAGAATATAAAACTCAGACCGAGGAGAAATCATTACTAATTGATTATAGATTGAAAGACGCTTCAGATATAAATTCAGACACGGAAGGAGAAATCATTAACTAATTGATTATTTAATAATAAATTAATTGAATGTAGCATTAATAAACATATAACTTTGATTTAGTTTAAATTCTAATCACAGACCCGATAGTACACAAAACGTCTACGAAATCATTGGCCAAAGTGCACTTGATTATGCTGTCATTATTTAAACCTGGACACTTATAGGTGACGATATGAATTTGCCCAGCTTATCTCTTTGAACACTGACCAGGAGATAGATCCAAAGATTAAATCCATACTATGGAATAATGATACATTTATAATTTCTATTCGTTCCCATTAACTCTTGAGACTTACTTTCCAGCTATATACCAGGGCGAATTATAAAAGAAGTGCGAGCCCTATGGAAGACTGTGACGAACAAGAAAAAAAAAAAAAAAAATTGAAATAGCTAATTAGATATAACTTTTATTAATTAGTGATTAAATTAAATTTAATTAATTAAATTAAGAAAATTTAAAGATAAAGAGAAATTTAAAATTATGAAATAATTTTGAATAGTTAAATAGGAAAAAAGTATCGGACCTCGTTATGTGAGGCATTGTCCGGATGACATCCACTTAGATGCTAAGAAGCAGCGAGCAATCCCGTCTGATTAACCCTGATTATACATTAAAATGTATTCCAAGGAATACAAGTATCACTCTTTTTTTGCAGCACCCCAAGGAAAAACGATAAACGATTGAAGCCCACTAAGAGAAAGTGAGAATAAAGATTATGAGTGTGGAAGCATTTAACTGAAAGTGTAGCTTTGAATAAAGAGGGAAAGTTCAAGACTACCTGATCGCAATGCCCTGTTTATATAAATCAAGCAGAATGTTCCCTGATAACTTTCTGAATACAATGTGAGAATAAATATATACTTCTCGGTACAAGTGGCAGCCCCCCTCGGTTACATCTCAGAAAGTTCTACAGCTCTGCAGAAGGAGTCACTAGCAGGAACGTCCACGACCGGGTGTCACTTTAGTTCTTTAAGGAATACAAATTACCACTCTTAAATTCATTTCATATCCTGGAGAATAAGCCTTTACATATAATTGAAGGCTTTTCTTTCCTCAAATCTCAATCTGTGCAGGTTGAGTTCGATGGAAAGACGGCTTGCATTCAGAAGTGAATGATTTTTAACACATGTTTACTATTAAACAAATTTCTGTGTTAAAATTGTAGTTCACTTGCATAAAAAAAGTGCCTGACCCTTTTATTTGGGCTCTGGCTGAAATATTTATCTCGAACTGAGAAGTCCGCGCAATTTAAGCTCTCTATACACAAATGCCACAAAGGAATTGAAATTAAATGCCCCAACTGCACCCCTTTATCATTCTAAATTTTCAAAAAATACAGTTTATCGTATGAGTACAGTGCATGAAACAAAAATATATGTGATACCATTTTTTTTTTTTTTTTTTTTTTTTTTTTTTTTGTTGTTTTGTCCTTCTTCAAATCTCCTATGTGACCTCAATAATTGATAGAAAAAATGAATTGTATAACAATGCAAGTCTGTATTTTAGAAAGCCCACTCGATCTCTAAAATAAAAAAAAATTTAGGATTAAATATTTTTAATATTTGGAAATTTATTATTCCCGAATTATGTGATAGAATAACTAAATACTTTATGCCATTCTTTTACAAAGGTTAAATTTACTCTCAGAAAGAAACTAAGGGTAGAAAAAAAGCATGGATTTTCATTTTCTGAATGAAAAAGTGAAATTATATTAATATTTTATTTAATGTAATACTGCAAAATGTACGCCTAATTTTAAGAAAATACTGATCTAACCAGTTTTTTTCAAAATGCTTGATCATTATGAAAACAACTTTG